ATCATTCCGACTATTGGCCCGATGTTGTGAGCAGACAACGGATTATTCGTCATATCAAGAGCCTCTTTGTCTCGAAAAATAACTCTTTCTACTTTAATCAAATCTTCAACTGCCCTTTTGAGGGTCCAACAGTCCTCTGTACTGTGTCCCACTGCTCTAGAGTGGTATTCACATATAGCATCAGCTCGGTGCGAGGGGGACTCGGGGTTCGGCCGGTTTGGGGCCATTGGCTGCAATAGATTTAGCTTGATTAACTTTTGGAACAAGCTTGAATATGATTCACCAATAGGGGTGAACTGATTCTTTTTGAAAGGCTCTCTTGGGCGAGGATAGTATTGGGGATTATTTGGTTGAGGATTATATGGGGCTTGTAAGGATGGGCATTTTTGGAAGGTGGAGCTCGGTTTCATGTATAATATTATGGCCGCGTGTAAGGTTGCACGTTCATCACCGCATAGGGAGGTGGTGCCATAGAATAAGCAGCATCTTGAAGGGTATAATAGTGTGGTGGGACAATAGGAGGCACATATGATTGGCTGAATGACCTGCGGGCCCCCCTCGAGCTTGAAACCATCATGGCTCCCTCTTCACTCCCATCTCCGTTCATCAAACCCTCCGAACCATTCTGAGCAACCTGTGATGTGGCCTTAAAAGCAGCATGACTCTAGATTCGCCCTGTTTTTAAACCGTTTTCAACCATTTCCCCAATTTTGATAGCCTCAACAAACGGCTTAACCATAGCGAACATCATGTTCTAGAAGTAGTCCGCCTCTAGGGCCTGTAGAAAGACCGTGACCATTTCAATTTCGTCCATTGGAGTCTTTCCCCTAGTAGCTTGCTCACGCCATTTGACATCATATTTGCGGAAGCTTTCTGCGGTTTTCTTTTCAAATTGGACAAAGAGTATTTGTCGGGAGCGATGTCCACATTATACTGGAAACAACGGACAAAATCTGGGGCCATATCGTCCCACACGTGCCAATGAGTAATTTGTTAATCCGTATACCACTCAGAAGCGATTTCGGTGAGGCTTTCCCCCAAAATAAGCCATTAGCAGCTCCTCTTTTCCATCAGCGCCTCTCAACTGGTTACAGTATCGTTTCAAGTGAGCGACCAGATCTCCGTGCCCGTCGTACTTTTCAAATTTTGGCATCTTGAAGCCAGCTGGAAAGTGGGCATGGGGAAACATACAAAGGTCAGAGTATGAGACACTCTTTTGGCCACTCAGACCTTGCATGTTTTTCAGGCTTTGTTCCAGACTTTTCATCTTCCGAACCATTTCCTCTTGCTTTGGATTTTTAACAACCTTTTCTTGCTCTACCGAGAGATCATATTGCGGAAGTTGAGTGAAAGAGTACGGGGTCATATATTCTATTTATGATTGAAGTTGTGGACCCTGAAAGGTGAACATTGGAGGCTCAATATACGGCCGTGGTAAAGTTGGTTGTGCTCTGGTGCAGAATGGTGCTGCAGATAACAATATTGGATGTGTCCTGGACACTGGCGCCTGGGGGCGAACCACAGAAGGCATGCCAGGATCATTGGAGGGTGCCCGCTTGGGATGAGCGGGTTGGGCACAGGGGCGTTGGTAACCTCACCTGACCCGGGGATCAACTCAGGGAATCCAGGGATTGTACTTGGCGGTTCCCTACCATTAGACCAGGAATCCCACATTTTCAATATGTGGAGACGCAACATCCTATTCTCTTCAGCAGCTGCTGATTCTAGTTGTGGAGCAGCCGATGCTGGGCTATCCTCAGGATCGAATGTGTAGATGGCTTTCAGAGGTCATAGGAACCTTTCCTTTGGATCTTGTGAAGTAAGGATGGGAAGCCAGATTACCAACAAAACTAACCACCTGAATAGAACCTAGCTAATTTGCACACCCAACAACCTTGTTAGTTTTGAGAGGCTTAACAGATAGGAAATCGCATATTGGGATACAATGCACCTAAATAGTTAAAACGTTTCTACTATATGTTTGAACGAGTTGCATGTTTCATCCCAGCCTTAATTAACCTTTTTTTTTGAATCTGCACCTCTTTTCTTCATTTTTGCTTCTCTTTAATCACTCTTGATTTTCGTTTTATTTTTGTTGCTCTTTTATTTTGGCACTCACTTTTTTTTTGTCACTCTTTTATTTTATGTCGCTCTTTTTTTCCACTTTTTCTTTCTTTTTCACTCAATTTGTTTTCATTCTTATTTTTTTGGATTATTTTTCACTCAATTTATTTATGGCTATGATCGAATCCGGTGGGGATTGTCTACGTATCACGATGCCGCATGAATCAGATCTTGCGCAGTTCAGAAAAATCAGGAATGGAGTAAATAAATAACTCTCTTTTTTTCACTTTTTTATAACACTCGGACAATGAAATCTTTTAGAAAAAAGAAAATATATATTTTTTGGAATTTCTCGTTTTTTTTTCTTTTCTTTTTCTTTTGAATGAAAGGCTTCTAAAGAAGAAAGAAAATACTTTTTTGATAGTCTTTGTTTTGATTATTTTTTTCGAAATTTTCGAAAGAAAGGCAATATTTTGGATTTTTGGTTTTGATTTCTTTCTTCTTCTTTTTGGAAATTTCCGAAAGGAAGGCTTCTAAAGAAGAAAGAAAACACTTTTTACTTTTTTTTTTTTGGATTTTGACTTTTATTTTTTTTAAATGTCGAAAGTTTGACTTCTAAAGAAAATATTTTTGAATTTTTAATTTTGATTTTTTGAATGAAAGACTTCTAAAAGAAAGAAAATATTTTTTGAATTTTTGATGTCGCCTCTTAACGAAAGAGGGACTTTTAAAAAAATATTTTGGATTTCTGAGTTTTTTGTTTTTAAATTCAAAAAAGTAATTCTAAAGAAAAACGAAAATAATTTTTGACTTCAATTTTTCAATATTTTTTGTGACATTTATGAAAACAAAACTTTTAAAGAAGGAAAAGAATATTTTTTTCGATTTGATTTTTTTTTTCCTGATTTTTTTGGAATTTTTGAGAAAAATACTTCAAAATAAAGAAAACTCGTATTTTGAATTTTGATTGATTTTTCTTTTTATTTCTTTTTTTTTTGTATGAAAGACTTCAGAAAGAAGGAAACTATTTTTTGAGCTTAAATGTTTTTTTTTTTTGAATTTTCTAAGGAAATACTTCTAAAGAAGGAATAAAAGCAAAATATTTTTGGATTTTTAAAAATTGGGGTCTAAAAGAAAGACTTCCTAAAGAAGGAAGTAAAGGAAAATATTTTTGGATTTTATTTTTTGCAAATAGTGGGCCGGAACCGATGAGGTTTGCCTACGTATCTCACATCCGGTGAGAATGAGACTTGCGTAGTTCGGTCAGTTTTGACGGACAGGGGAAGCATGACCTTTGAAAATTTTGGCTTTTTTCTTTTTTTTTTCTTTCAAAATTTCGGCAGAGTTTTAGAATTTTCCAAATACCTACTTCTCATTCTTTTTTGAAAAATTTTCTTTCCCTATTCTAGAAACCGGTCAACATGCAAGCCGAAGCAAATAAATGCGTAAGTAGCACGTAAAATGCATCAGGATGGTCTTTTTAAGTTGGGTACACATGTCCTAGATGGACTCAACCCCTGTGTTGAGTCCCTAAAGTCAAATGCACGTGATGCAAATAATCGTTCCTACTAGGGATCCGGCATGAGGCTATATTATTCTAGGTTTAAAATCTGGGTATATTGTTCTAGACCTGGTTTACTCGAGCGGACAACTCGAGCCGAGAGGGGGGGCAGCATACCGGGAATACAAAAGCTTCACCGACTTTGCAACTTGTCTGAATCTCGTTCTAAAATTGGGATATGACTCTAACAGAAAAGAAGTCACACGAAGCGCACGCTTCCCAAAAGATTTTAGAAGACTTAGAGAGAAGAGGGTTTCGTAACAGTTTTTATATATAGCTCAATCAATATCAAGACGGTAAAAAGCAGCGTTTAGTACATTATGCTCAAACATGTAAAAATCAGATAATAGATAAAAGCCAACTATTAGTTATTTTAAGCTCGAATTCTGGGTTCGATCCCCAGCAGAGTCGCCAGAGCTGTCACACCTCCTTTTTTCCGAGAGGGGGTTAGGGAGTTTTTTCAATTTAAGTGACATTAATCGAAATGGAATTATTTATTTCATTTCAGAGTCGCCACTTGGAATATTTGTTATGGTGTCCCAAGTCACCGGTTTATTTTAAATCCCAAATCGAGGAAATTGACTCTATTTTACGGTCCGCGAACACAGAAAACTGGTAAGGAATTCTGTTAACCCGGGAGAAGGTGTGAGGCACTCCCGAATTCCGTGGTTTTAGCACGGTCTCTCAACTATTAATAATTGACCTAATTATCTGATTTATTACATGTTTTAAACCTATTATGTATTTTTAACTTTATAGTAGCTTTTATTTATTTATGAAATTTGTTTGAACAAGTCGCAATGTCGCGCACTTGTTTGTTTTTGTATACAGTATGAATCGCGTCACGGGAACTGTACCCATGATCTACAATATATGTATTTTATTATTGTTTAAAGTTATGGTCAGGTCACATGAAATGCGCACCCGAATTGGGAATTATGTACCACAGCTATACCACGGGAACCGTACCCGTAGTCGTGATGATTTAATTATACGCCTAAAGCAAGCTACGAAGCAGCACAGATGTCACAGTTTATCAAGTTTGTGCGCAGTTCTATGTTCTTCTGCTAAGTCTTACATTTGGATAAAAAACTAAACTAAGGGAAACTTTTAATTCTGTAGTATTAGATATTAGAATTTAGTATTAGTGGAGGTCTCGATGCTTTTAGTTTTGCTGTTTAAACCTTTCCGCAAAACATTCGTCTATATGAGAGAGTTAACTTAGTTGCATCTTCTTATTATTATCATTGCTAAATTCATGCTTTTTCCTTCGTTGTGGTTTCACCTCTGGTGTTATTTTTAGCCACATGTTGTATAGTTTTTTCAACTGCTAACAACAAACTGTAAGACGAAGATTGATTATTTAATCATTTACTAGACAAATCATTTAATTAATTGAAAAAAGTAGAAATTCGACAATCATTTATGACAAAGTTTACTGCCTAATTAAAGGGCTATTGTACGTGTTACGTACATCATTGTGTGTGTCCGCCTGGACTAGGGGAGGACAAAACACACAGAGCACTATTATATCATTGGTTTGGCAATTAAGTTGATAGTTATTTGTATAGAACATAGTGAGGGACTACAATAATGTTGCTGTAGTAGTGCTTTAATTCCTTCTACCTCTGTTACGCCTAGTAGCTACTTTCATCCACCCGTCCTCGTCCACTTCAGCTGGCTGCTTCATCGCAGGCTCATCAACTACAATACCCTGGCCCAAATTTGACTGTGTTCCCACATAATCAATTGCCATATCTGATGAATTGCTACCCAAGTTCTCATTGCCGTCATCACTACTGTCGTCGTCATCACTAGCATCCTGGAAAGTTTTGCAAAAGTAAGCAATAAAACAAATTATCACTGGACAACATTCTCCAATTACAAAAAAGATGCATCACGGGGGGAGGGGGGGTGCAAAATTCAAGAGCAATAGTTTCAATTTACGGCACTTTTCCCTTGGGGTTTATATTAGTCAATATATCAACAGCATCAACCTGGGGAATTTAACGGTTTGGGGCTGCTAAAAATAATAGAAGTTCAAGATATTTTATAGAATTCCTCAAGAATCACTTAAGTAGAATTCATGAACAAGGCCATCAGGGAAAAACTCTCGACTAATAAAATAATAAGTAGAAATATTACAATAAAGTTTCCATGCAACAAGTAGTTCAAACACAAACTATGAACAGACTAGAGCATGCATCATTTCCAATCCTTTTAATTGCTCACAGCGGTGGCTTAACCAACGATACTTCAAAGGAAAATGGACATGTATTTGCTGGCTGGTGAAAGAAACCAAAGATTTTTTTGATCAAGAATATAATATTGACAAACCGAGTGAAAAAATCAAAGACACTTCGAAGGGAAAAGGGAGACTGTCCTTAACTTAAATGCAGATGTTCATACTTGCTTATTTTGTGGTGCAAAAGGCTAATGTATATGATGTAGACACAGCTACAATTTCTCAGCTCCTTATCCTGAATAAGATAAGGAATTGAGTTTTTGCCTCTTTTGTACAGTACACATTCAGAATCTTCCTACTGTTGCTTTACATTTAGTGAACAAAATGATTAACTCACTTATCAAAAAGAACTCATATAGTGAACCCTAACTAATTTAGGATTGAAGAGTGGTTGATTAATTGATATACTAGCACGTTTCAGTAACATGCACCTCCCACCAACCATTTTCAGCTAGGAAAATGGGGGAATCCAGCTTTATGCTTTTTTTTTGGAAACTTCCATGAAAACCGCAACAGCTACAGCCTCTGCCCTTCGGGTGAGCACTCTGGATAAATCCCCCACTGTGTAATAGCCTGCAAACCACACAAGGAATGTAAACCGCACTACGCAAGCCCTGTGCGACACACTCAACCCATAAGGCATTGAGGGGGATCGATCCCAGGTCATTTGTATGGATGACCACCCTCCAAACCAATTCAGCATCTCCGAAGGGATAATCCAGCTTTATGCTTGTTATCTTATAAGAGGTTGAATATATTAGGTCTTCTCATTCTTCTCAAGTTCCTATTTCCTTGGAACAATTAGCAAAAGTACACCATGTATAATTACCTTCATCTCATACAGTTACCATTATCCAATACCTGATTTACCCAAGCATCATTTGTAATAAATATGAATTAAGGCCTATATTACTTCCACACAAGTAACTCATCCAACATACTAGTTCTTCTTCATCACTTTTTGTAATGCATATGATAGGATTCATTGAAGTAGTAGGTGACTATCAACAGAAAAAATTTCTACCGATCACAGAGGGAAAAACATATACTGCCTATAACAAAAGGGATGCTTACTTGTCTGACATAAGTGGCAGGTCTCCTTCCAACATTTGTTTCTCTTAGCAGTTTGATTGAATTGAAATTGCCTTCCAGACACTCTTCATGCATAAACATCATTTTTTCTGCTACCTGAAAGAAAACATCAATATAATTTGTTAGGGAAGCATACATCATATCTGACTCCAAAGCCTTACAGAAATGCATGATTACACGAACAATAAATTTTCTAACCACTGTAAACAACATAATTTAGAAAGGGTACATTACCATTTTAGTTCTTATATTCTAAAATTGTACTTCTCCCTAACAGGAACAGTACAACAGTTTGGTCAAAATTCAAGATAACAACAACAAAAAGAAAATAGCAAAGAAAAAACCACTGCCCGTTTCCTGATCTTCTTTGTTCGCTTGATGCTTCCTTAAACAAAGGTTAGCGGCTGGCAGCAAAGAGAATGGGACAGAAATTCTCATCCCAGAAAAATGAAGAAGAGAGAATGGGACAGAACTAAGGAGAACTGGGAAATGGCTGCCTGTAGGGAGGCGGAGTACCACAAAGGGGAGGGGGGCAAACCACAAACATCCTTCTTCAAGTTGTGGACTAACTATCAATTGATTCCCATAATTCATTTATATCTTCCAATGAGATATCCATAGCAAGTTATTACTAAGCCTTCTAAGCTTTATTATTACAGGTAGAAAAAGTTAATAACACATGATGATATTTTGTGGATGTTTATCTCGTATTTTTTATCAATTAAATGAGGTAAAGGCACTGAATTTAAGATATAGTTCTTAAGTCACCTTGATACTCCCAATTGAAATGGACAGTTTGGTTGTATGAAACAAAGCACCAGGGCAGCAATAAAGATTGGTTTTAAAGAGGATGCTGGTCATGCGATCAATTCCAAATTGAACTTATATCAGTATATACTATTAATGTAATATATTTTTTTTCACAAAACTAATCCATATTCCTAGCTTCCTGTTTTGGCCGAACACGAAATGCTAATTAGCCTTCTCTTTCAGATTCACCAAAAGAATTAAGTTTGAAAGTGTGGTCAAATGCAACATCATAACCTTCAGCATAACCAAAAGGGAAGAATAGCGTCAGAGTAAACATATTTGATTGATAACGACAAAAACCTTTACTGAGACCCCAATTTTTTTTAATTGACTTAGTGCTACAATATAAATACCAGGACAATCTGGAGAATTTACACACTTGAATCACGCCAGAAGTTAGCACACAGCATATACTTGTTGAATTATTTCAAATCGGATGAGATGTACTTCAAAGCCTGATTAAGTTTCTGGAAAATTAGAAGTGCTTGCTTTTCAAAAGAAAGCACTTACGAGGAGTTTGTTTGAAGTTTTCCAAACACAGGCATAAAAACTGCACCACTTAATTTCATTGTCTATGAAATCATTCCCACGAATATTTTATGTAGCCCTAACACAGCAAACAAAGATGATAGAGAATTAGGGATGACAGGGCAAGGAGTGGCACCATACCTCCTCGAGACTGCCATCATTGACTTCAGTATTTAGAGACAACATGAACTCATCTAGAATCTCCTCTATATCATCCATATATACTTTTTCTGCATAATGAAAAACAATGACGGACCCACAAAAACAATAAAAACAAATTTTTAATCAAATACAATAAAATAAGTAGAAAACAAAGGGATATTAGCAGCTGGGAATGGCTTAAATATGTAACTCGCTCCATTTCAATTGAGGTATTGCTTCTCTTTTTAGTTTGATTCAAAAAAGTTGCCTCTTTTAATATTTAGTAAGTTTTAAATTTCAACATTTCCATTTTACACTTGATGAAAATGTGAATAACATGTCATGTTTAAAAACGCAAGATAAAACTAAAACACATAAATTGAAACAGAGGGAATATTAATCATATGCAAAATTACCTTTGGAATTTGTGAAGGCGGAAAATATGTCGAGATTGAGCTGACTGGACTTTTCACGAGAGTTGCGGCCACCCCAGTCGTTCTCGATAGCCATCTGAAGGGCAGTCCATCTACCTAGCACCAACCCGATGCCTTCCTGTAACTGTGCAGCCGCCTCAACCGTCAGCTGAGCTGGTGCGGCGTTGTTGTCGTTGCCCATTCTGAACCAAAAAACAGCACAGAGGCAAGGGCGGTTCTAGGATAAGGCAAGTCTTGCCTTAGGCCCCCAAATATTTAAGGCCCAAAAACTGTATAGTATAGTACTACTATGTCAGTATATAATATATGTAATTTATATTTATACAATTTATAATAAAATATTTTAAATTTAATATTTTATTTAAATTTGATCGAGGTAGGATTTAATGAGTTAATAGAATAAAACTTTTCTCTCACTAAATTAAATGATATATTTACCTTCTCATCAATTCTATTTTTATTTCTTTCTTTTTTCATATTTTTTTACTATTTTGCTATCTAATTTCAACTGAAATTCTCTAAATTAGCTATTCATTTTTGTCACATTTAATTGAACCACACATCAGAAAGCAAATTCTTTTGTGTCTCGTCTTTTTTAACTAAGAAATTTCCGAGACAAGTGTCGTAAGGTTCAAAACACGATGGATAATAGGCTCAACCATTTTACCATTTTTACTTAATGCTATATATTGTATAGGGGAGAGTAGGGGTGGGTGTCCGGTACTTCGATACGGTATTTATGAATTACGGTTCAGTACTTCGGTATTCGATATATCAATTGTGCATACCAAATACCGTACCTAATAAGGAAAATTCTAATTTGATTGCCAATTCCAGTTTAATCAATGACATGTATCAATACATACCAAGGTTGTAAGCAACAAGAACACAAAATTACAAACGGCTCAGTTAAAAAGCAACTTAACTCAGAAATGTGATTATAGCTCGCATGAATGAAGATCAACAATGAAGAATGGAGAAGTTATGAACCTGAATGAAGGTCAACAATGAGCAAACAAGCAATCGCCGAGGAGAGGAGTCGCCGTCACCGAGGTCGTGAAGCTATTGTAGTCGTGAGTCGTAACTCGTGAATCCGCCGCAGCAACCGAGCAAAGTTTGAAATTTTTGAACTAGGTTAGGAAATAGAAAGGGAAAGGGATTTTGTGATACTGCCCGCAGGCGTAGGCGTAGCTTTTCCTTTTCTTGTCTGCTTTTAAGTGACCAAGCCCAACGCATCTCCGACCTTTCATTTTTTGTCCCAAAATAGGGATTTCCCCGTTTTGGAGACAACTTACTCCAACAATTTTTCATTTTTTTTTCCAAACTTTTTTATATTCTTCTAATTCTTCTATATTATATTATTATCTTTCATTTTCTTAATTTTCATTAAACAATTCCATCTTTTATTTTTATTAATTTGTAATTTCCATAATTAAAATAATTTCATAAAATTTTAAATAATATAATTTGTAAATAATTATTATAGATTAACTATTCAAATAAAAGTGAAATCATTGCGATACAAGATTAATTAAATACATATTACATAACGATAAAATTCATTCGAAATACTAGATAAATATTCAACTTCAACCTTTAGTATTCTCCCATACGAAGTGCAAAATGAGCATCTTTGTCCTTAATTCTTCTATGTCGAAATAAAAATTCTTGAAATCGTTGATTTTCATCTACTGTCATTTCTACATAAAAATAATAAATGCACGAAAATTAATTTATCAAAATTATACACCAAAGTTAAGATATAATATTAATATTATAAAGACATTACATAAACATAATTAGGTATATATAAAGAGATAAATTAAAAGATTAGATAATAAAATAATAATAAAAAGTGATGTATAGTAATGTGGGAGATGAATAGTGTACCCCCATATTTGAGGGAACACTATTCATCCCCATTTTGGGGACAAAAATAGGGGAGGATTGGAGCTAAATTCCTCTAAATATCTCCCTCATTACGAGGGATGGGGGCAAGGTTGGAGATGACCTAAGGGTGAGGGACTAGGGAATTAGGGGTTTTGAACTTTTGTGGGGTGGGCTTAAAGTTATTGGGCTTTATAAAACAGTTGGGGTTGGACTAAAATATTTTGTTATTTCGATATACCGAAATATCAAAAACGCAATTTATCGTATACCGTACTGAACTACCGATAAAACCAAAATCGAAATATCAAACTAATTTGGTTCAGTTCGGAATTTAATTTTTTGGATTTTATGCCCACCCCTAGGGGAGAGTTCAACGCCATATAACGTGTGTCTAACTCACACATTATACATTGCACTTTCGCCACTAGATTAAAGCCGTATAGACTTTTTTTGTTGCAATATTATACAGTAGATTTTATGAAAGAAATTTCAGGGAATTTTTATATTTTTTAGTTTTAAGCCACTAGTTCCATTAAGCCGTCCTGATTAATGATTAACATATATTTATAGAGTTGTTCAACCAGGTTCATTCATATTTGGTAACTAAAATAACACATCCTTTAATTGTTGTCTTATCTTAATTGAAAATCTATAGAATTTGATTAAGAATGTCATGGGTGGATATGTGTCTCAAGTAGGAGACTAGTAAAGCTTTGATTTAGGTCCCCGAAAATTTTTAATAATGAATTTTATGATTTTATTTCAAGTTAGACAATATTAAAGTCTGCAAATAAAAAGAAGTATAGAAAAACTTGGATGAAAGAAAAAAAGATTGTCTACTCTTTAACACTAAAAAATATTTTAGAACTTTGAATTAAATTACTTAAATCTTTATATTAGTAAATATATTTTTTTAACAACACTATCAAAGAAGGTTAAATATTTGAGCTTGCCACCCGCAACTATAACTAGATAAAGGTGACATGGCCGGTAGATCTTTTTGAAAGTTTTTCTCGGGTGTAATTCAAGTTGCAATTTATCTTGAACCTTCAACTTTTCCTTTTCTTTGTGCTTTTTATTTCTTTTTATCCGAGTCATTTATCTTTTCGGCTACCTCCCAATTTTTCATTCGTCGTCTTGTTATTTATTATATTTTTCTTTCCTCTATTCTATTATTTATATGTGGTCTCTAGCACGAACACTCAAAAAAGAGACTCCAAAAAATTAAAATTCTATTAAAAAAAACATTCCTCTTAATCTCAAATCCATGAGTTTTCTTCTTTCAAATCTAAGAAACTTGAGTCTTGATGGAAATTTTGGATTGAGATTAAATTCATTTTTTCATCTTTTTTTTTGTTAAATCATAACAATTTGTGTTATGTTATAAAATAAAGATTTTAAAGTAAAGAAATCGAAGACAAGTAGAGAGAGAGATTTATTATTCAACTTTAAATTCATGTACATAATAAACTGAAATCTCCTCTATTTATAGAAAAAAGGAAGTTGATACTATAAGTTGCTTGTAAGCTGCTACTGTAAGCTGCTACTGCAAGATGTTGTGTAAGCTGCTACTGCAACCTGTTGTGTAAGCTTCTTGTAAGTTGCTACTGTACCAGATATAGATAATTTTCTGCCGGGGTAATATTTATCCATAACGGAGTACCGAAAAGATAAGCTTCTTCAAGAAGTTTATTTACAACGGAGTACTAAATGAACATCCATAAAATATATATATATATATAATACTCCCCCTTGGATGTTCATTAAAAAATAATATGCCTCATTAAAACCTTACTAGGAAAAACCCCATGGAAAAAAATCCTAGTGAAGGAAAAAGAGCACATATTTAGTAATACGCATTGCTAGGTGCCTCATTAAAAAACTTATAAGGAAAACCCCGTGGAAAAAAAAACCTTAGTAAGGAAAAAAGAGTGCATCGCGTATTTTACTCCCTCTGATGAAAACTTTGTTTCAAATATTCGAGTCTCCGCATTCTAATCTTGTATACCATCTTCTCAAAAGTTGAATTTGTAGAGAATATTATCCACCACTATTTCAGATCAATTTAAATTAATCTCATCAAACCAAGAAGCTGCTACAAGTCATTTCATTGAGTTGCTTGCAACCTACCTGCATCAGCTGCTTGTAGAAAACTTTAATGGAGTACTAAATGGATAATCTTCTTCAGAAAGATTATCTACATCGAAGTAATAAATGGTAATCCACAAAAATATTTTCAAAACACTCCTCTTTGGATGTTCATTATTATGTGCCTCGTTAAAACCTTACAGAAAAAATCCAATGGAAAAAAACCCGAGCAAGGGAAAAAGAGTACAGTGCAGAGACTTGGATATATCTGGACCAAGGAGTTCATCATTCTCTTCTGGAGGTAAGAATGGATCCTTAATTCGTGTAGGAGAAGAACTATATCTTGCTAGTAAATTAACAGAAAATGCTATGTCAGGCCTTGTAGCATTAGCAAGATACATTAGTGCACCAATTGCACTGAGATTTGATACTTCGGGACCAAGGAGTTCCTCATCCTCTTCTGGAGGTCGGAACAAATCATTATCCACTTCAAGTGATCGAACAACTATTGGTGTACTCAATGAGTGCGCTTTGTCCATGTAAAAGCTTTTTAAAACACTTGCTGTATAGGCAAATTGATGGATAAAAATCTCGTTTGTTAAATGTTTAATTTGCAGACCAAGACAAAGTTTTGTCTTCCCAAGATCTTTCATCTCAAATTCATTCTTAAGATATTCAATTGCCTTTTGGAGCTCTTCTGGAGTTCCAACAAGATTTATGCATCAACATAAACAGCAAGTATAACAAATTCTGAATCCATTTTTTTTATAAAAATATATGGACAAATAACATCATTTATGTAACTTTCTTTTAGCAAATATTCATTGAGGCGATAATACCACATATGCACAGATTGTTTTAAACCGTACAAAGATCTTTGTAATCTGATTGAGTACATTTTCTGAGACTTTGAATATGCTTCAGGCATTTTAAATTATTCAGGGATCTTTATAGAGATTTAATCAAATGAGTCACATAGGTTATGACTCGCATTTAAATGGCATGACATCTTCAGGTGTCTGGACTACTAGTCTGATCCTCACAATATTTCACAGTATTGTGCACTATATTGTATCAAATATATCGTCGATGATCATTTTGTATCGGTTCGCAAGAGACATAACTTGTTGAGATCTCGTCACTTTCTTTATATTCTGGTACCTGAACTTCTTCTGGAGTTTCATGAAATGTTATATTGTGGGCTCTTCTAGAGCTCATTTTCTCCTCATTATGATCATTTGATCATTAGCTCCTTATCATTTTTCAAGGATTGTTACCTTTGGAACTGATTGGTCTACCACGCTTCATGCGTACAGTAAACTCTATCTTTCAGGGACTTTAAATTTTTAATAGGAACATTTTGCAGCTGAAATATGATATTTGATTTTGGATCAACAAATGCTTCTGGCATTTGACTTGAATTATCTTCTAAGTGAGGATCATATTAATGATAATTCGATTCATGTAGCATATTTTTCAGCTGTTTATTCCATCCCCCAAATATTAGAAAACTAACATATATTCCCAATCTTCTTTAGAAAACATATCTTTGTGCATTGTGGTAGAGAAATTTATCATATACCACACATCAAAAGATAGTAAAAATATTTAGTTTCTAATCCTAAACCAATTGTGAGGAGAGGACTTATCATATATTGCTAGCTGATGCATACAAGTGCTGCTATATGCAATTTAGAAAATCTTAGACTAACACATGAAGCTTTGTTCTCATAAGCAATGGTTTAGCCATTAATAGGAGGTATTCAATGCTAAACCAGCTTGAATGTAAACCAGCATTATCAAGATAAACTATTTTGATTTCATAATCTGAAAGTTTTGCTCTTAGTTGAGAAAAGCAATTTCAAATGTCAAACTGCAGGTTGACAATGAACACACATGTAACCATCTTATATATGCATCTATAAGTGGTTTACATGATAGGTGAATGAGCCCATATTTACCTTTTATATATTCCAGAATTAAGGGGTCTTAGTCCCAACTTTAGCTGGTATAACCAATTTGTTATGAGAACAAGCAGCACAAGAGAATTCTTCAAGAATCTTCTAGTTCTTCAGTATATGCTTATTTGAATTCTCAAATAGCTCATTTAAAAATGGCAAATAAAAACTTCAAGTTTATCATGGCATGTGCTATATCTTAGTAAACTTCTAGTTTACTATGACATAAACTTTTGCATTAGTAAATTTCTGATTTATTGTGATTGCTTTTGCATTAGTAAATTTCTGGTTTACTCTGATA